CTTTCATAGAGGAAGAAAGAAATGCCCTGTATTGTGACATCATACACAGCCCCTCTATCCCCCCAAGACATCCTGGTAATGCCCATGCTCATGAGACCATGGGGGAGCACCGTCACTAGCTTCAGGCGTTAAGGGGGCCACATCACAGGAACAAAATATATTTTTCATGCTTATGCTTTTTACTGATGGGTGGGGGGTAGCTTCCCGCCAAGGGGGACCTCATTCCCCCCCCCCCCCCCCCGACGGCCGGGGTGGGGGTGAGTGGAACCATGATGCTGTTATGGGGAAAATAGTATCACATAGCTATTTATAGTCCTGTGCATAGAGTAGCTCAGTCATGAAGCTTTTGTCAGGGAAGTGGTCTGACCTGTGGAGGACCACAACCTACAGTACAGTTCACTGACACAATGAATGTGGTACACCTACATGTATGCCTCCTAGCTCACCCTACCAAGTCTTTTGTCCTGTGAAGTTCATTTTGATTGTTGTTTCCCTGACCAAAGGTTTGGTTTCAAGTTGAATTTTTTCTTGTGGAGGGTTGTTATATGCAACAGTACCAAGCAGAGCAGATTTTTAATGTATACATGTACATGTACATGGGGAAATACATAGTGACATGGTGAACACATGGTGAACACATGGTGAACAGTTGAATACATTGTATCTTGCCTGTTGTGTGTTTTTGCTTGTTTGTTATTGTACATTGACATGATTTTATTCGCCCTGTTCTATTTATTAATTTATTCTGTGTGGTCTTCATGTATGTCATTTTCCTTACAAATAATTTCAAGCTTAATGTGTTTATTTACGTTATTTTTAAAGTTCTGGTAAATTGCAGTTGGGTTCCGACAGACATTAGATGCCTCATCTTTTTTTACCGTCATAAGTTACATGTACATGTATTTCCTTACCTCACCCCTTTCCTGCGTTGACAATGAGTTCAGTCTTATTTGTACTTATCAGTCAGATGAGGAATGAAAATAACACACTGGTCCCAAAGACTATGAACCAGGAATGATTTTTCGTTGGAGAAAGTGCCAAAGTGGGTGGTACCAGTAAGTCATTTTTTTTTTAGCCCATTTCGTATTAGTTTTACTGAGTTGTAATCTAGAGAGAGAACCTGTCAGAAGTCGGTGCAAGTGGATAATGAACAGGGACATGACTATTTATTGAAATAGTTTGTGGTGACTTAACTGCAGACTCTGTGACATGCGAATGGCTTTGGAATGATTTGTTACGAGCTGATTGTAGACTATTGTACGCAGAGCTGGTGTTTTGTTAAATGCTGCCATTTTTCCTTGCGCATCTTGCAGGACGCATAATACAATATACTACTGCTCACAGTGAGATTTTGTTGATTCTGTAGTTTAAATTATCAGATATACCTGTAGGTATGCGGATAATGCAAAATAGAAAACATGCAGTGTGTGTGATGCAGTTTTATATAATGCAGTGTGTATTATCCAGCCATGGTTCCCTCTGTGCTGTGAACTGTCACAGTGTGAAGGCAGACATTACAACAAACACTACAGCTTGTATGCAGCTTTGATTGTTAGTGCTCATTGCGTTATAAGTTGACACACGACTTTGTCTACCGGCCACAAATAAGCACTGTCTACCAGCACCACTATCAACAGCAATGTCAATACACAGTTCATAATACTCTGCCTGCTGGCTATGGACCAGGACCAGCGTAGCAATCCACAGCAAATTTAATATTGGGCCTGAGTTTTTGGTAGTACAGAACCATTTCTGTTTTTTTTTTTTTAAATATGCCTGCCTTGCCTAGATAGGCTATCAACTACATGTATTTTGTGTCTAATATTCAGTTTGCTTTTGGCAGATCATTACTGCAGCAGACTCTAGGCCTATGCTGGGTGCCTGACTGCTGATGTCAATGCCTGGTTCCATTTTTGATTTTCAGGCCAGTTACTCTTAAAAAATCACGTGTCATGCAAAAAGGAAGAATATTTGCTAAGATCATTGTGTCGCAAGCTTTATATTTGAGATCATTAGGCCGCAGTAGTGGAATGAACCTGTCAATTCTAAATACATGTACATGTAATATGTTGTAACCAGAAAATGATTGTTTGCAGTATTGTGAGGTCAGATTACTGTAATATCCATCATAAATGCTTAATTTTATGGGCAATCTATTGCATCATTTGCAGTTTATAGTTTTTTTTGCTTTCATTTTTGATCAACGTCTTGTAATTCCAGCAGTGCAAAATGAAAAAAAAAAGACTTTACAGATCGTGTTTCTATTATATCCTTGTAACATTAGGTAGAAAAAATCCTCTCCATAAGGATCATCTCAACAGTCAGATGATAAAAAAACCCTGTTCCATAACAAAAACAGGAAATAGTGGCTTTCACTTACAGAGAAAACTTTGGAACTGGTACCCTGTTTTTTATCAACTAGTATTTTGTTAACCATCAACCAGTAATGCCATATGCAGCATTCACAACAGATTTGATTGACAGGTCTAGTGCTATCTGCATTGTCATTCATTTTTGGTACTTTGAAAAACACACAATGTTTGATTACTTAAATTTTGGGTGTCCTCCCAAAGGCTTCAGGGCAAATTTAATGTGGGGGATTTGTTTGACTTACATGTACGTGTACCGTTATATTCCCTTTAAAGATTATTTCAGTTGATTGGAGCGCATGTTGAACAAGAACAAGTCTGCTGTCTGTCCAATCTGCAATCCCGGATGCAATCTGCATCCACAGTTTGCAGAAATTGATGAAAAACCCCTAAATTTTACAATTAATGTCTTATAATTGTTTACAAAGTTTGCATATGCTGACAAAATGTTACTTATTGTTCCAAACTTGGTAACAAAATCACTTACTGATGTTATTATTTGTTGGGGGAGAGGGCACTGAGAGAAGAAAGCCTAATTTTTGTAATGTACATGTAGATATCACATCTTTGATGTCTGTCAGAGAGCCGTATCGGTTGCCACCATCGGCTGTGTTAGGATTCCTGGCTTGAATTAACATCCCCTGCACATAAGGAATCTCTGTTTCTCTCTCTTGAATACCAGTAAAACAAGTATTCAAACAGTCTACCCAAAAAACTATTGCTCAATTAGATTCAAATTGAATTCCACACCAAATGTGTTCGCAATTTAATGTTTTGGCAAAACCAGTCAGTATTGTTTGGTTTGGGAAATGTACCGTAATCATACGGTGTTACGGGGGGGGGGGAAGTGGTTGTTTAGATATCTTTAATTTCAAAAGTATCCAGCTACCTGATCTTTGCAGAAATGGGTATACCACAGGCCTAGCACACACAGGAGACATTGAAGTAAGGAAAATTACAGTTTGCAATTGGGCTCAGAAAAATTTGATTTTGACAGGGTCGAGTTGTAATATTAAAAAAAAGATCATGCACTCTCGCCAATAGTCACTTGTGAATTCTTTCTTAATTTCCTTATCCACTGATAAAGAGATAGATATGACAGATGACTGCACATGTACTAACTGCATAGGAGTGCTTGTGTTAATTTAACTAATACGGCTTTTAAATCCATTGATTGTTCTTATTTTAGATATTTCTTTTTCTTGTCATATGAGATCAGTGTCGATTAAAAAAAAGACTGAAAGGAATGTCAATTTCTTATAAAAGACGAAAACAAGACAAAGCAATTTTTCAAGAAATAGCACGGCAGTTTGACAATGCAGGTACATGCAATGGCACAATGTGTACATGTACGTTCGTATGTATTGGTACATGTACCTGGTTACGCACCTCGGTGTACATATAATAAATTTGAATATCACACAATGTGGCATTTGAGCTCCACATTGAAATCTACACGTACCGGTACTTGGCAAGCCCTCTGCGAATTTACACCTGCCTGGATATGGTATCATTTCATAAAAGCCCAAGTGTGATTCACAACACATGCCTCTGAAGTCACTTCAGTCCCAAATCGGTAATTGGATTTCTGTCTTGGCTGCTGGTACTCTACAATAGTTGTCTATTCCCATGGCTAATCAAATGACAACACAAAGGCTGTGCTAATATAAAAGGCTGGGTCACTGGGGAGTTGATAATTGATTTACACTGTACCCACCATTAGGAGTACAGCAGATACAACAGATTTTAGGAGATACTTGCTCTAGGCTAAGCAGTCATGCACGAAGGTGATTCAGTTGTTTTGGGGTGAGGTGGCTGAAGACACAGAATCGAAGCCGTACATGTACAGTGTATGTACATAGGAGCTGAAGGGTGTGGTGTTTTAATGCTGTGACATGTCAAAAGAAACGCTGCATGCATTGGCTGTTTAACATACAAGCCCGCCGTTATGTTGGCATGGAATGTTTGATGTGCTCATTTTGCAATGGTGAAAAAAGGGTTTTATAGCCATCTTTGGCTTGCTCCATCCTTACAATCAACCTGGCACTATGACACTGTCTGGCACCTGCTTGGCTTGTAGGCAGCCCTTCAACCTCTGCATATGTGTACATGTGTTGGCATTGAGCCTTCAGATTGGTAATACATTCAATCAAGTAGCCAAGTACATTGTAAACAATTAACCAGTTTCAGTGAAGCCATTGATCAGTCAATTAATTAGTCACTCAGTAAACTAAATGCCACTCAGCCTGTGAAGACATTTCTGAATATATTTCATATACACGTACATGTACATGCCGTTTTGCTTGTTTACATTGAAATGGCATGTTCTCATGATCCCATTGCAAGGATTCATGTTCAGACATACTGCAAAAACACATTATCCAAAATGATGGCGAAATCGTTTGTTAGTGCATGCAGCTTTATTTATTTTTATCATTCCTACTCGGTTGGTGCATTTGGTTATAAAAATATACATTGACAGCGCAGGGCTACTTCATCCGTTGCTGCCCTGATGTTGACAGGATGTGAATTCCTTCCTTTTGAATAGGCATTCGGACAAGCATAATGGAAACCTAATATTAGGATATATTTGGGAATACCCAGCAATGGCTTTGCTATTGAGTTGCAGGTTAGATTTCATGTACACAACCAGCTCAGCTCAGGCAGTGCATGACTGAGTGCTGAAATGTACAGCCTTTTGACACATCCAGGGCAAGGCTGATATTATAGTGTTGAAGCAGCAGGCCAGATTAACAGGATTGTTAAAAGGCACCTTGTAAAACATGGTTTTTTTTTTAATTTGAAGTTAAATTTCTGTGAAATTTGGTACCATGTTGATTCAAATTGTGTGAAGGTGCACTATTTGTCAAGTACAATGTTTTGGGGTACAGTTGTGTTATAATTGCATTCATATTCAGAAAATCGTTTTCAAATGAGTATTTGATACAGTGCTTTTTAAGTAATTGCACATGTCTGTACTTGCACGTAATTCAAAAATTGAAGTATAATGTTACACTTGATATTAAATATTTGTTTCATATACCTGTGCTATACATGTGTATTCATTAAAGTAATTGAGCATGGTGGTGGTGAGGGGGAAGGGGAGGGGGAGGATAGTGGTGGTAGTAGTAGTAGTATAGACAAATCTGGTGACTATGATAACATTATCACTGGTCATTTGCAGTGGCCCTCGCCAATGGTGGTAAGCATCGTGATAATTATTGCATTATTAAGCAGTAATGACAGTCACTCTGTACATGTATAAATTCCAATACAGTGTTTTCTACTATTACAGTGGGCTGTTGAGAATACCCAGTGAAGCTTCAGTGCATTCATTTAAATGTATATGGTCCAGAGACAAAATTTTGCATTCAAGACTGAGCAACACAAAAACCCAGAACCAGAGTATTTCTGTATACCTTACATACACATAGTTTTGTCATGATATTAGAAAACATTGCAAAGGTTTGACATTAATTTATAATTCTTATTAATACATCTGGGCAAGAGAGGTTTAGATAAGGCTACTTTCTGTCAGATATTCCATTTGACACAGCTTTGATCGAGCACATGGCATGTTTACTGAAACAAACAGAATTTGTGATTGCTATGGACTGCCCAAGTTTCAAAATTAAACAAAGAAGTTATCAGTATTTCAGTCCTTTTTAAAACATGTTCAGTTTTCGCGAAGGGTTGTTTGTGATGGTACATGTGTATTTTGACATGTATAAATGGAAATTTGTTCCGAATGCAATATAGTTCCTACGCTATACACATGATGATCCAGACAAAGTTATTGATTGTCGGAGTAGACAGTATGGGAATTTTTGGAGGGATCTGTGTGTTTTGTATCATGTCAATGGTTAATCTGCCTTTGACTTTATTTTAACTTACTTAAGGGGAGGGTTCTACGGCAAAGTTGCAGTCTTCAGAAGAAAGAAAAGGTCAGTAAAATAACGTGTTGTATTTCAATTGTTTCAGGTGGTTCATCTGTCCACAGCTTTGAGCCTGCCTGTGATGATCGTCAGTCCGATGTCACCATGTCGGTCCTCTCCTCCAGGGGCAGTCTGGCTGAATCTCAAGACGTCTCCCACGAGTACTTGCCTCTAGCACCATCCCCGCTGGGATCGGCCGTCTCCTCCCCCTCGCCACATCTCAAGTCGACCAGTGGCATGTCCAGCTGGGTGAGGTTTGAGGATGCAGGGGACGTGCCACAGCAACGGATGCAATCTCCTCCCTTGCTGGTGCCACTGCAGGCGTCAAGTCCATCAACAGTCCAAGACACGGCCTCCTCCTCAGCATCCCCCCTCTCCAGTCCGGGACATGTGGCAGGTACGCAGCAGATATCCAGCCAAGTGGCTGCTGGTGGCAAGAGCCTTCGCCAGCCCTTGGCAGGATGGGTGTCGTTTGATGAGGCCGATAGTTCTACTCCATCGACACCCATCAGGTCCCCTGTTACGGATACTACCTCTGAGAAAAGGCTTCAACTGCAGCAGTTGCAGCAGTCTTTAGCACTCCAACAGCAACAACAGATCCAAGCCAGACAGCAACAGCATATACAGCAGCAGCAACAACAATCACCACCTGTATTTCAGCAGCATTATCCGCAATCTCCTGCGTCGTCGTCCTCAACACCACAGCATGTTGTAGTGCTTCCCCCAGCAAATCCTCCAGCCAAACCCCTGTCGTACCCGACTGATAATCAACAGTCCCTTCCATCTGCCCCTTCAACCAGTACTCCACTCCCAGGGAACCCCTTCAGAGAGGAGATGCTACGCCAGCAAAATCGGGCAGCGTCTCCATTCAACCCATTCCAAAGTGGTCCCATACAGACTCCCAGCACCCCCGGAGGAACGGTAAGTGCCATGTGGGGGGAGTCACCCATAACTCCTGGAACGGTCAATGCCATGTGGGAGAAGTTTGAGGAAAGTTCCACAAGTATTGCTGCCGGCAGTGGAAGCCCTGGCAATCCATTTAAAGTACATGTAACTGCAGGTGCCAACTTATTTAATGCACAGCCACAACAGGTTGTTCTTTCTGGAGCTTCTGGAAACATAGCACCAGATCAACCTCAACTATCCAATTCCCAGCCCAGTGCTGTCGCACTGAAGGAACAAGGACAGACCCTTCAAGGCAAGAATGTTGCTGAGCAGTCATCTGTCCCGTTTACTTTGTCATCGACACCTGCTCAAAGCACACCAGTATCAACACAGCAATTCCAGAGATACACAAAAGGCTCTAAACAGGTCACAATTCGAGCGTCGGGCAAAAGGCCGAAGGTTACTCAGAGCCAGCCAACTGATGTGATCGTGGATGATGCACCTTTTGTTGATGAGTTCCCAAAAGTTAAAAGGGACCTGAGTGAAGGGTGGTCCATGATGCTCAGGTGCCCAGACAAGAAAAGAGTAGCAGGCTCTCGCTACTGGAAGCCTGTACTTGTCAAGCTTCTCGAAGGAAATGTAATACAACTGTTTGACATTGATCACAGCTCAGAACCTTTTAGGGAGCTCCCATTACAGTGTAGTTACGAATTTGGAGACAGAAAACCACAAGCCTACGATACATTGGGAAAGATTCACACCATCAAACTGATGTATGTCTCTTACAGTGAGAAGCGGCGCTACAACACCAGAGCACCGTATGAGAAGGTCATGAATGCAAACCCACTGCTCAAGCTTGGTTCCACTGACTACAACACATTCCGAAGTTTCATATCTACCATCAATGAATACCTGATGAGGCTATCTGCATTCCGAGACCGCGGCATTTCATATAAGCAAGATGCTATTGGTGTGGTGGTGTCAGATGATTATCGCTGCCGCATCCTTTGTAATGGGGAATTAGAGAAGCAGTCAATCAGTGTTGACGTCACTGTGCTTGCTTTCTTGTCTGATATGCCTGAATGTTCAATAGCTTTGAATGATGTACAGGTTAAGGGTCTGGAAGTCGTGTCAAGACGGGACATCATTCCAAACAAAACTAACCATTGGATCAAGCTGGAAAATGTAGAACTCCACAAATGCACCAACAAGAATGTGTTTGTAGAGTCCCGCATGATTGAGTTCCAGCCTTTGGACGGATGTCGTTTTTGTCTGATGAAGTACCAGACTCGACCCCGACAGAATACAGAGCTACCCTTGCATGTGAAGGTAACCGTGTCAGGAGAAGGGGCCTACCTGGAGTTAAGAGCAGATTTGTATCTTCCTGGTGAGTGATTCACAAAAGTACTCGGGAGACATATATTGCTTTAAGTTAAGAATGATCTCCTAGACTTTGCTTGAATTCATCAAATCTTGTCAGAAGTTATATCATATTTGTAACCAGTTTGTGATCTTCAATGTGATTTTCATCATCAAAATGAAAACAATTTTTAACAATTTATTCTTGCAGGTCGCCCTGGGCGTAGGGATCCATCCCAGTTTACTTGCGAAAACGTTATGGTGCGCATCCCCATCCCCGACACCTGGATCAAGTACTTTCGCCGTGAGAGACGTCTTGGCTACCACTCGGTCAAGTCGACCCATGGGAAGCCAGACCACATCAAGCAGGGTGGGTGAATTGCCACTTTGTGTATCGATCTGTCATGTTTGCCCGAGACCTGTCAGTTTTACAGTGGTGGTTATACAGACAATAAACAGCACTGCTCTGTAGACAATGCCATAAATACTGGTATATGGACTCAGTCACGACTACAGACTGGTATACATGTACAGTGATTTTGCCTCGAATATTCTGCATATTCTTCTGCCTATTCTACTGCTGTCATGAATCCCCCATTTTCAGCACAGTGGTTTTTTGCCCATTGAAGTGAGACAAGCATGTTTAATATTCAGCAGGAGTCCGTGAGCCATTGCTGGCAGTGGCAGTGGAATTGATGAATATAGTAAATGGATTTAGGATAGATTCATAAATACCTCAGACAGTCTCCCTATTCTACAACCTGCAACTTGACGGTGTAGTAATATTTGAAAATGCCCGCTGAGAAGTGATAATGTCCGCTGCGTAAATCATGCCCTGGCATCTGGATACAAGACAGTTTAATCGATTCTAATTGGTCAAGAGTCTCTGTGCACGTGGCCTGCCATGTATGTGTCAAGTCCATATAAATGATATAAGGAGATTCTTTTGGACAACTTGCACAGGGAATATATCATAAAATGGACGGGGGTGTTTGTGAAAATGAAAAATAAAATTCAAGAACAAAAATCGTTGAAAATCCATCATATACATGATATATTGACTTCTTTTGACTTTCTGACTAAAAAGGTATTTATGAATGACAATAAATATGTACTCACATTCAAGACTGGCTCAGGAGAATGGACGCGACTAATGCCTACGCCGCAGGTAAGGGCATTATCAGTGTCCATTCTCCTGCATGCATTTAAGACTGGCCAAGCACATACATGCACATACATGTATACTGGTACATGTATTTATTCCCTTGCTAAATTATGAGCTACCTTCATAAATCCTTGTCTGATTTTAAGTCAATGAATTACTCTTTCTATTCAAATATTACCCATTGAATAGAACTGCATTTCAATTGACTAGTTCCTGCCCCTATTTCACATATTTCATTCCCAGTAAAAAATGGGAAAATAATGTGGAGAAAGGAACCAATCTAGTGCCTGGTGGTGGCCGCGCTTTGGACACAAGTCTGTCTTGCAAAATGCCAATTGTTAATACTCAAGGACTGTTTGTTTTCCTATCGGAAGAGGAAATGATGAGGATTTATGCAGGTATTGTATGAAACAAATACAAATAGTGTTTCATGTCCGTGCAACTTTTTAGTGAGAAAAATTTCATTCGGTGACAGATGAAATGTTCCACTCCACTGGGCATCGCATTGTGAAATGCAGCATTTTTTCTTTCACCTCATGAATTTATTCTTACCATTGCACTCATAAATTCATTATTTGTATGCTATTTTAATGCAAGCTTGTTATCTTTCATAGAGTTATCTTTCAGTATACACCATCCACTCAAGACTGAACCCAGTCAGCCAACCTATTATGAAATGCTTGTTTTGCCCCCAGTCTTAAATTTGTCACACATACACACTTTCTGATTACTTCAGAGGTATTAATAAAAAGCTGTTTTGGAAATGCATGGATGGTGTTTCTGCATAATTGTGACCTTTTGTGAGGCAAGGATATATGTACATGTATGTAATAAGCACAGCCAAATGTACTGCATTGGATTCAACTCAAGAATCAAGTTATATGTACATGTACAGTACTTGTATATTTAATATTTAATTGCATACAAATGCAGGCTTTGCAAGCAAATGAGCTTCATGTTTTTCCACCAAATACATGTAATCGAAGCTGGAGAGAAATGCATTTGTTTGTATATTTGGTAAATTTTATTCTGGCATATGATGTTTAGTTCACAATTCACATGTAACTTCATACAGTTACAGCTCTGAATTCTTGACAAAGAGCAGATTCACACCGTACACAAATGAGTCCACAATATTAATTTACTTTGTTAAATGGAGTGCTTATATTTTAATAAAGTAAAACTTATGGACATAACAAAATATAAAATATAAAGAATATTTTTACACCGCATCATATATGTGTGAAATATCTGAATGCTTTTAATTATATTAGTCATATTTTGGAGGTCCATGAGATTCAGAATATGACAAACATTTTGCTGTCTTATCGATACTTTGCGATTGTCCTTATTCTGTTTTTGCCAAATTCAATATTCATAATCAGGAAGTCTGAATCCAAGGTTACTGGAGACGAGTATCGGTTCAGCAAAGTATGAACATGCCTACAAATCCATTGTTTGGAGAATTGAAAAACTACCAGAAAGGGCGACAGGTGAGTGTCACAATGAGCAATTGGAAGGTTGCCCCATTTAGTCAATGTTAGATCCGCTGTTGAAACGGGGTACTGATGCTTCAAGTCCAAGCAGTATACATGTATTTTGTGGAGGGTTTGTCTTATGTGAATTGCTGATTTCCTCATCATTTGAATCTATGACTATTAAATTTTGGGGTTTTTATGTGAGATCACTTGTTTTGTTGGGCTGATAATTTCGTTTGGGAGGCTTATACACTGTGTCAGTGTGTGTGAGCCATTCATATGATTACATACATGTAGCTTCAAGGACATTTTGGGGACTCAATGGTTACGCACAGCTGTGTACCAATCGAAGGAAAAAAATGATAAAAATACTACCATGGGTATACATATACCTGTGTGAGGGGGTACCAAATTGGATATGATTTTGAGCTAATTGCTTTGAGTTTAATGCTGGTGTAGAGAGATATTTTGGCATTAAAAATCCAGAGAAGACATCTTTAAGGCTAGTTTATCAACACATTAAATGATTTTTTCCTAACAGATGGCAGAAACCTTCTCTCAGGGAGTGGATATATTTTGGGATCACCTTTGATTTATAATGCAAAGATGGTTGTTTTCTTTTAAAATTAATGTCAGTTCCATTAACTTGCACGTTAGCAGCATCATATAATGAAATGTGGTGAAAGAAATTTGATGAATAGTCAATTTTTGTTCCAATGCTTGAAATATTTCTCGCCAGTTTTTTCAGCTTCCCACATCCTCATGTGTCGCATCCACCTGGAGTCCCATCGCGAGGTCCCCCGCACCCCCCAGGGTGACGTGGAAGTAGAATTCACCATGCCGCACACAACTGCTTCCTTGACCACGGTGCGCTCTCTGTCTGTGGCCTCCAACAAGCCCTCCGAGAAGCGCATCAGGTACATGGCCCACTATGAGTACTTTGTGGAGATGGAGAATAACGTAGTACTTCAGATGCTGGATGGTGATGAAGGACCCTCCCATTGTTCGCTGCAATGAAACTTGTCCTGCACCAGAACACCGCCAGTGTTTGATGGAAGCGACTTCATACTAGCCCGTGAAACCTGGTGCGCTACTTTTTTTCAGTAGCTGGGGTTACGAATGATTCATGAAGAGGGGACAATGCAATACACCATTTAAGACATTTCAAAAACGCGAATCCATTATGTCGCTTCGATAGCTTAGTTAGTAGTGATTTGAACTACAGATCTATAGACCCTGGTTCGAATCCAACCCATTTATGCTATTCATTTTCCAATTTTATCATTGTGTTTGGGATTTCCTTTTTCAATTGATGCAGAAACAGAGTCCAAGCATGAACCCTCTAAGAGTCTTGAGAAAAATAGCAGACCAGGTTTCACGGGTTAGTATCTAGTCACTTCCGTGTTTGATGAGCGTCCTGTCAAATCATGTGCATTTTCACCGGTGTTAAAATGTGGTTGATTTTCTCCCACCTCACATTGCCTCATCGTTGCTTTTCATCAGCAATCTAGAAAGTGTGAAATGGGCCTTACTGCTGAGGCTGAGCACAGCTCGATGTAGTTGCACTTAATTTTTCCAGCACAGCTAACAATCATCAAAATAAGAGATTGGTAATAAAACGAATGCAGCGCATTGATTATTGGGCGGTTCATGTCTGCGACTGCAAGAAAGGATTAATCTGTGCACATGAAGCAGCGATGTTAAGGCGTAATTAGTACTGCACCTACCAAAGTATTTTGACTTTTTTTATGCACATTCAATAGTTGCGTCCATTTCTATTTTTCTATCCATAATTAATGTCATCGGGATTTTAATAAGTTTTGGTAATGCTCATTAGGAATTTTTACAGGTGTTTTTAAAAATTGGGGTCGTACAGCAAGCCCATCCAAGCTGCTGTGTTGGTGGTAGAGTGGCCAATAAGCCTTATGCAAGTTAAATTTGAATAAAACCTGGTACACAGAGTTATCTGATTGCACATAAACATAATAAAGACTAAAGACACTGTTGCTGTGCCCCATGACTCGGGGCAATCTTTTACATAGTGACCATCATCTCTGGAATGGACTGCATTGGTGCAAGGCATCTTCTGTGTAACTAAGTAAAATCTTGCTCTGAATCACAAGGCAAGGGTATCTTTAGTATGGAGAATTCAAATTAATGTTCATGTGAATATAAAGAACGCAGTGCACCAGATTTTATTCAAATTTAACTCGCAAAAGTCTTATTGTCCTTTCACATATCAGTTTGAAGTCTTTCTTGTATAATGACAGAAGCTTTTAGAAGTGTCTGGAATTAATAAATTAACCCTTTGTGATCTAGACATTTGAGATTTTTTTTTCTGTTTCTATTCAAAGTAACATTTGAGTTTCAATTTGATAATATGATGTTTCAAATTATCGTTCAAAACCAAATTTTTAAAGTCTAATTTCCCTCACTAATTTGCACCTTACATTTTCCTGATTTTGTATCTCACTACGGTGAGATTTATCACACTTCATCAACATTTACGTTAGCATTTCTGTCCTTCCTCACTCGCACTTAATCTTTTCCCTCCCGGGTGTGCGTTTATCCTGTGTGTGCTGAATTCAGAAGAGTGTTGCCATAGAGACACATCTATTCATTATGACCTGTTTCCATAGTAGAGCTGTTTATTTTCTGTTACACACTGGTCACATTGTGTCATGTTAGGTAACTCATTTTAATCTTGCATAGATGTGGGTAACGTCCACATTTTGTTGTTGTATTTTAAGGTACAAATGGTGTGCTTTTTCTTTATTTTTCAAAGATTTATTTTTCTCAGCTTTTTCCCTCCAATTTTAGTATATTCTTGTCAAACTGGAAATTAAATGCCCGTTAATTCCAAATTGATTGAATATTCAACTTGACTGAGACACAGCTAGTTTGTCAAGCTTTATACATTGACAAATCCAGAGGGGCCCATGGGGGCCACGACTCCCAAAAAGGAGCAAAATGTTTACGGTTTTGAGAAAATGATGAGAGAGGTGATGGGGGGGACTGTTTCATTTCCTTTCTTCCATTCAAAAAACCCCCAAATTTAGCGTCGCCCCTTGAAAAGACCATACGAGGTTACTGAATGAAATTCTCAAATTTGTACATTTCCCTTATTTCAGTTGTGGACCTTCCATTAGCTGTATTGATCATTGTTAAATCATCTTTTGAATAGTTGCCAACGTTGCTTCCATGGGGTTACTTTCCCTCCTATTTCACTCATAGATTTTAAGTGTGTTCTTGTTCAAGGACACCATTTGTGTGAAGGCAAGCCTCCTAATGAGAGAAACATGCAAAGTTATAATGTAACCCTACTGATGACATTAGTTGCATTAAAGTCCTTGGAGAGATTCTCACCGTGCAGAAATCAAGAGCTATGGTCATGATATCTCACCTTCATAATGCCCATCATTCATCAGAATGCTAGACTTATTGATGAATAAAAGTGAGGAGCTCTGTTCGCTCATCTCAACGCAAGCTAAAAGCGTGTTACTGAAAATGGCTTTGAGAAGAGTCTCCTATGAAGTACGGCCACAAAGACCTACAAAGCCAGTATAGCATGTGAAGGGAGCGCATCATTTATTGTCCAGCAATGGAACATTTTTCTTTTTTTGGCATGCCCATGCGTAAACATAACCGAAATTCCCCTAAAAGAAGTGTGACCAGTTTAATTTGAAAAAGAGATGGCTGTTATGCAAAGTACAAGTACTTTGGGTTTGATTTTTTATGGAGATTTGTATGTATGATTAGAGATACCAAACCCTGAATGGAAATGGAAAGAAGTGTGACCAGTTTAATTTGAAAGAGAGATGGCTGTTATGCAAAGTACAAGTACTTTGGGTTTTATTTTTTATGGAGATTTGTATGTATGATTGGAGATACCAAACACGGAATGGAAATTTACAAGCATGAATCCATGTCGAGTCAGTTTTAGTGAATCTTTTTACGCTCCATTGAGTTTTAAAGTTATCATATATTTTTAGGTCATCAAAGAAACCAGTAATTTTATGCCTGCGTGTTGTGTGCCTGATTGGGGTTTGTACTGTCATTAACAAAAAGATGCAATTTTAGTATTGTGGAAAATGTTCGAGTTAAGCTTCCAGCAAATAAGATATTTTGAACATGGGGTATTTTGGGATATCTGAACATTTTTGCACTTTTGTTGTTCCACAACAAAGTATCAGTTTCTGTGACACCATGCCGCCATATTTGTGATCAGTCAGTTGAGGTGTGGACTGATCACGAGTGTGTACAATAGAGTACTTCAGTTATCGAAGCAAACTGATATGTAATTTGTATGCCAATGTCTTATCGTATAGCATGCATATTCAGCACACAAGTACACTGCACTGTTCAGTGTTCAATAGATCATACAACCTTGATTTTAAAGTACATTTTGCCACCTCTATTAATTGAAAACCTGTTATCGCTTCGAAAGTGACACCCCTCAAGCTCTTCTGGTGAATCGTGACTGTCATCGTGTGTTAAGGGAGTAGTATGTTATATGGAAAACAGTGGTCTTACTTGGCATGTAGATTGAATGAGCAGAGAAACACCTTGTATATTGAAATTTTATTGAATGTGACACGCCTGTACAAAAGGTGTGATGATAGTATATTTATGTTGCAAGAATTGTGGATTAGCATAAAGTTTGACATTTGGGCTCCATACTCATTTTAACCATGCATACTACTGAATTTTAAAATACTTTGTTCACTTTAACCATGTATACCTCTGAATTTTAAAATATTTTTTTTTAAATTCATGCAGTACCTGCGAAAAGCCCTCTCATTTTAAAGGTTGATGAAGATCAGTGTACATGTATATGGCTATTGTAATGAAAGTTCATTAGATAAAATGCACGATCCAATTTAAGTTGCTAAAGCCACTTTTGGGTTAAAGGCCTCTGGGAGAATTTCTTGGAGTGTGAACAACAGAACCTTCAACTGTTTTCACCCACATGATGTCGATTTTTCATCAGGAGGCTGTACGTCAAAACAAAGAACTGAACCCACTTTTTCTGATGCTAATTAAAACAAAGTTACTGGGGAAGAGAATTGATTTAAGACTTATTTTGTGGGATCCGGCACAAATGATTTTCTGGCAGGATGATATAAATTCAAGTTTTTATTCGTCAGTTGTTAATTGAAGGGTCTGTCTTGCAATTGGAACTACCCTGGATGAAATGTCACCATTTTGCTTTGTTTCATTTTTGTGCTTTTTCATGTAGAATATAAGAGTACATGAGTGTATATTTCATTTTTGTTTGATCAATTACAATGATTATTACAACCAATATTGATACAGACAATTGGTAATTAACCCCAAGCGAATGTTACAATCCATGTTCTTATTTTACATGCTATTGGTATGTATAAATGTAATATTTTAATTGTTTAACAAACCATTAATTTCAACCTATAATGATAATGACAGAAGATCTTTAGGTTTTTATATAATTTTTAAAAAATATTAGACCCAAGCCATTCATAAATTTTATTAACATTGGCTTTCGTTTATTAATGCAATAATCATACACTGGTAAGGTTAAATATTTCTGTGTTACATGTAATACTCTCCTTTGTTGAGAACTCATTGCAGTTTTGTACCACCAGACCTTAGAAAAACAGTACAACTAACTTTGAGTGAAATCTACTGTGCTCCGGTTGTGCAGTTTTAATCTAATTTTATGAAAGATATTAGATTTCAGTTGTTCTTTCTGTTATTTATTATCCACATTGTATTCATGAGCTCATGGCATGACGCACTGCTTTGGAAATGTGGGAAATACTGCACACTATTTTAGTGGGTTTTTGCAGTCACAATGGTTCGATTTGGAGTAACAACTCACAAAGAATGCTCAGCTTGCCACAGATGACTTCCATAGCATGGTACATGAGAGGGTGCCTTCCAAGATCCACAGCTGCCAAGTTAATTATGAAAAAGCTCTATTTTCTAAAACTGGCTGACATTCACAAATAAATATTCACTGTCAAAATTAATGGCCTGAAAGCAAGAAAGATGTCAAATAAAACGATTCTTTCAAAGCATTGTCATTGGTACGTTGAGTTACTTGTAAACATATAATGAATCCTCAACCACACGCTGTGTAAACTTGTGGCACCTTGCCTTGGATATAGTTGTAACTCCCGATGCCAGCAGCAAAACCTTGGCTGGTTGTTCTTCACTGAGAAATCCCGAGTGTCATGACCCCAGTGAAGAAAGATCAAGGAAGTTGAAATGCAGCACGTTTTAGTAGGCGTGAGCAGAGAAACGTGCCGCGCCTTTGTGACTGAGCGCAAGACCTAATATCCTGTCCACTGAGGATATGCGCGTATCGGTGCACCTCTTTGCCATGGGGGGAGTTGGAGAGTAAAACAAGGTTACAACGAATTCCCAAGAAATTAAGATGTCGGTGACTTAATTTTTGATTTAAGTTGACACGTTATAAGACAAGGGAAAATACTACCATAGACGCGCACGGGACATTGCTAAATAATGGGAACCAGCATTGGTCGTTCACATTCAGCATACAAAAATTATTATTTTTGGACTGCATGTACTTGGTATGGTACGCCAAAGAGGCCAAAACGCCCTCCCCCACGCTGATTGGCTTGCGTGGCGGGTCCAAAGCTTACCCCCAGAACTGTCCACCCCGCTCCCACGAACTTCAGTTCTGCGGGGTATCCCAAGATAACTAAATTTTGTTTGTGCTATTAGCGTATGTTTTGTTGTTTGGTGTGATTTTAGGATACGTCCCATCTCAATATTTTTCTTACACTATTACTGCGGGGATTGTAAATTTGGGGACCCTGGTCCCTATAATAGAAGGCAGAGAGCTACATAAACTTTTGAATTTACCTTAGTAGATGACTGTAATATCATGCTCAATAACTGTGAAGTTGATGTCAAAAGGGCCGGGTTTTGAGTTTTGAGGGAAATTATGAGGGGGATACTGTGAGTGTTTGTGGATTCCAGCGGCACAGCTAGTTTATCAGTAAGAAAGTCACATTTGAAGTTATCACAATTTACAGTTTGAAATTTCCAAAAAATGGGGTCAGTGCAATAAAAAGAATGTTGCCTTTTTTGAGGGACTTACCAGTTTTGCAAGATTATAATGACAAAAAACTGAGGGGGCCCCAAGCATACAATCCCCGCCGTTACTGTCTCCCATACCCAGGCCCAGGCCCAGGCCGCGCCGGGCGCTTGCCGGAAATAGCCAAAAACTCGGTCACAGGTGACGGAGTTCATTGGACCATGGTGCACCGCGTTGGCGCGCTACCGACAAAAACAGTAATGGCGTCGCAGCGAGAAGAAATGGCTGACGAACCGCTGCCGGAAGACAGCGAAGACACTGTGTTGTCGATGGTCGACGTGCTGCAAGAGAGTGAAGAGCTGGAAGAGGAAGCTAATGCTGTACTGGGTGATAGTGATGATAAATGTTGCACGTATCCATTGGTGGGTATTGTTTGAAGTTGGACTAGTCGACCGTGTTATCACATCTGTCAAGTGTCATGTCATGTCATAACGTTAGACTAGCCCCACTAGCAAAGATCGTACAGCGCCGAAGGCGCAAGATGGATAACTCTGCCTCAAAGGGTGTAATTACCATGGGTGCCATTTAAGCAAGTGATACACCTGCGCATTTTACGGTAATGCTCAGGCGCAGGCTCACCAGGTGCAAGTGCCTGCTGCAGCGCCTGCCCCTTTGCATTAATGTGCATTGAGCAGGTGTATCACTTGCTCAAATGGCACCTATGCAATTAGAACATTTTATGTCTATTCAGTGTGAAGTTCGCCATCTTGCGCCGCTTTGCGGCCCTATACGATCTTTGCCCACTAGTGTGGCACGGACTCTCACTCCCGCTGCATCCTTAGCCCACATCCGTATACGCAATTTTGTGTCCACGTATTGAACATTTCGGCGCACCCTCTTATCATAGTGGGCGCAATTTCTTTTGCACACGAACATGATCCTTGACCTTTCCGCTTTCCAAAAACCATTTATTGAATGATTTCACTCACGTTATTCAGGTATTTTTCAGTCTTTTTGCCTTTATCCATTCACTCTAACGGGCTCGCTCTCACAATCGCCATCTTTAAAATAAGGTCGTTGAACATTATGTCACTTGACTCCACTGATCTCTATACTAACCCCTAATCTTCTCAACGGCTGGGCCGTGTCAAGACATCTAAACTACTGCTAATGTTTTGGAAGAACCCATTAGTACATTAAGTATCTTATCGCGCAGTCCGTGTATTACATATGTCTCGACATGAAACAGCCGTCGAGAAGATTAGGGGTCAAGTGACGTAATGTTCAAAATTGCGTATACGGATGTGTGGCTAAGGATGGAGCGGGAGTGAGAGTCTGTGCCAAACTAGTGGGGCTAAACGTTAGACATGTCCTAGTACTGGTAGACTAGGCCTAGGCCTTCTGTTCAACTTCAGCGTGGATGGTTTGATCATGGTGGTTGGCGGGCGCGATCGGTCATTAGATGGTCATATCGTTCGGTCTGTCAGTCACCATTTTACACTGTGCACAGAAAACAGAACAGTATGGCATGTATGGTGTTCTATAGTATATAGTTAATACTCAGTATATTTACCACTCACCCCGTGGATCTCGCTCCAAGAACATGGAGAAGGGGCGTTATTATACAAGTCACCTGTACGTCTTAAGTTTGGTGGATGGTGGAGTTCGGCCACCACCAAGTGTTTTGTTGTTTTCAGACTGTTTCCCAAGGATTTATAGTGAAGTGTTTCTATGGCTGAGGACAGAAGAATATAAAGGATGACCTACATGTGGTACCGTCAAGGATTTATCGATCTCGACTATCGAAACAAGAAGAAAAAGAACTGGATGTGGACAACATTCAAATCCTATTGGAACTCCTTGTGGAAAAAAATTAGGAAGCATTGGTTAGGCATGGAATTCCACACCAGAAAAAGCTAAACTAAAATCTGATCATGCATGGACTTCAGGAACAACGGTACAGATAAGGAATCTTTGCCATCAGTTGCAATAAATAAGTATAAAAGCATCAAAAAAAGGGGCGAGATCCGCAGGGCGAGATTTGCAGGGCGAGATTTGCAGAGCAAGATCCGCAGGGTCAGTGGCAGATATAGAACAGCATACAACACGGAGTAATTGCAGAATACCCTGCCACTCTAAAAAATGACCCCTGGAATGACTGGGTACGTGGGTAAAAGGTGGAAACCCCTTGAGAAGAGTGTGACACTTTGACCTGTACCTGGCTATGAGGTTGATCATGCAGGAGGGCGGGGTATTCTGCAATTGAGCTGCACAGACCCTAGGAGGATGAGCCTGGCATGACTGGTCTACTAATGTATGTAATTACTAAACACTTGAATATTTTCCCATTTGGGAAAGGATTCCATATAGGCCTGTGCGGATGCCGCTTGACAGGCAGTGCATAAACCCTTTGAAACTGGTCTGGAAAATTCTAAGTGTTTTCTCAGTAAACGACTCGGTATTTGCCCTCCTAAATTGAACTTTTCTGGACATGTTTTGATGGCTATTATTAACCACTTCCTGCCGGGGATTCCGGATCCCGACACATATGCTTTATATGCGTGGCCGGGGTCTCCCAAATCGGACAAAGGGAACAAAGCCATGTAACAAAAGACCATACTCCGAACAAAAGACCAGGCTGCTGGGAATTACCGAAATTTTTTCACTTGCCAAAGTGGAGATAATCCAGCCTTGTTTTGAAACAGTATACCACGGTTGGGGGCATTTAGAGCAAGTGGATTACCACCGGGGACAAAAGCACTCCACCATTGCAGCGATGAGCCACACAGCACCGCTGCATGCTAATCTGGCCCCTATTGAAAAGAGGTCAGCAGCGCACTGTGGCAGGTTCGTGATAGATAACACCGCACAATCTGGGCTCTG